ATATCAGAAAATAACATTATTTCTCCTTTCTGAAGTTTTCAACTGAAACACTAACACGGTTCTCGCGATTGTCCTGTAATCTGGAAACAAGTATTTTTGGTCGCTTCATCTACTGCAGTTATTAGCATTGCATCAGAAAACATTCCCCATTTGAAGCACTTTAGGCACTGCGTTTCATTTGGGAGATAGAGATCAACCAAAAGAATTATTACTACATTTGAAAAAACACAATAGAAGAGAGTCGGATGGATTAAAAAAGATCCATGCTCCAGTGATTCAAGATAAATAAGGAATTAAAAGTGTAAAAAGTAAAATTTGGTGTTAAAAGTTCTCTTATTTAAATAAGGACTGATGTTCATCTCATGGTTGGTGGTTAACAGATCATTACGTATTAATGACGCAAAGGATGAGCAACATCCCAATTTCTGGCATATTTTTGCTTTGGGCAGAAAATACTTGTCCGTCACAGATGACGAATACATTGGCATTTTGGGCCATTTTCTTGTTTTTCAGTATCGGGTGGAAACTTTCTGCAGCCAAACTCCTACCCACCATATATTACCCCCCTTGCTCCTACCATAAACAGGCCGGTCCATCAAGGCGAAAACTGCTACACGTTTTGCTCCAAAAACCTAATCTCAGAGATTTCCGAGCTCGAACAAAGTGCTAAATCATTAATGGAAGCAGAGACTAAAAGTAAAACAACTTTTCTGATTCTCCATTAAATTCAAAGCAGAGCAAGAGTGAGATGGCTGACAAAGCAGCATTTAATTCCTCGCTGTATCTAGACCAGAATATCCAGCCTAATTTACACAGACAGTCACAGTTCACATAATCACATACAGCAGAATATGACAGGGGAATTAAAGGACCAGGAAAGCATGTCTGAACTTTGAGCTTCCTACTCTAAATGTATTAAATGCAGACATTTAATTCAGGAAAAGGCCAACCTGGTTGTTTCTTATTTTAAGCCAAAAATATATTTCAAGCAGAAAATACAAAACGAACGGTATAGCTTTTCTGATGATTTTCTTTAATAAATCAAATAGCCAATTTAAACTTAAGCTCCCACAGGCTACCATGATGCACTGGGAGAGATAGCCAAGAATCTGTAATAAATTCTGGGATAGCAGCTGATGAGCAAATAAGGAACCGTCTTATTCTCCATGCCAGTCCCCTTTCCATGGCTTCTTTTTGCCCATGGAGTTGACAGGACTATCCAAGAATTCCAATTCCCTGTGCTGTGGTGGCACCTTTCCCTAATTGCTCCTTTCTAGAAACGGGTATGAGGTTTTGCTGTTATTCTGATGGAAAGCAAAACCTAATCCTCGAAGCCAGCATAGCTCCTGCACTAGGGTGAAGCTAAAACCGAGCCCAAATACTGTTTTTTACCACCATCACGGGCTAATTGCTGCTCAAGTTCATGGGAACTGGCTTTTCTTGAAAGTCTCACTTGGAAAATATTTGAACTTGTATCTAATGAAAACTCCTGCTAATGCCTCGTTTTATTATACTGCGTTAATTAAAAAATGTCAAACCTCAAGTTTAGAACCAAACTCATTTTTTACATCCCTTTTATCTGCCCTCTTCTTCCTATTCACTTCACGTTATTTATTATTACCCATGTTTGTGTTGTCACATCTAAAAATACAGCAGATGGGTATTTTAGGAGAGGGAAATCATTTCTCCCAGCCTGTGAAGGCTTCATCATGCTTTGGGGTATTCAGAAAGGAGACAAAAATCAAAAGCAACCACAGAATTTCTTGGGGAAAGACTAGAACAATACCATTGATCCTATAAAATTAAATCAGATTCTTCTGCAAGTTTTCTGTAAGTTCTTTGTGGTGTTTCTTTCATTTTGAGGCTTTGCTTGCGTTAGAGCTCCGGATGGTTCCGAAACCTAAAGCCTCTTCTTGGGTTAAGGCTCTCCAAGTTAAGCAAAAGCAACAGGCAAAATGAAGCAACCTCATTTTTCAGTTTAGACCAGTCATCCTCTCTATCTGTTTGCTGTAAATCGATATGAACAGCAGCACCTAAACAGCTCTTTTTCTCCCCTTTTCCTTTTCTTTTTTTTTCTCCCCCTGTCTTCAGTTCAGCAATTTAGTTGGATATATTTTTCCCAGAAAAAAATTAAAGCTTGGATGCCTCTCATATAAGAATGTATATTTGCGATGTTACAAAGCCCTCTCGATTTAGAGGGGTGGCTTCTACAATAAAGATCAATCTGTAGTAAATCAAAAGGAATTTTATTTTCCTGGCGATTCTTCAAGATTCATCACTTTAAAATGCACTATTAGAGTGTCCTAAAAAGGGAGGTCAAAGAAAAAGAAAAAACACACAAAAAGGGCAAATCTACAGACACGTAGCTCCAGGGCAAGACCTGGAAGAGGTTGAGGGCACCGTTTTTCCTGGGCCCCTTTGAGCACGGGGCAGCGTGACAGAGCAGGACACTTATGGGAATGAGTCCTTGGAAAGAGGATCTGTTAATGCAACCACCGGAAAGAAAACCCCACATCTAATCACCATTAACCGCTGTTGTGGTTAATTAGGAGGAGAAAGAGGCTTCACACACACCAAAGGCAGAATCTGTTCTCCGTGTCCGTAAGCAGCAAGGCAAGAAACAGCAGCCTAAGGCTGCACCGACAGAGACCGAGACTAGAACATCTCCAGTGGTTGGACTGAGAGGCCATTTCTACACATTTTCTAATAACCTCTTGGACAAATTTTATCTGGAATGATGCTGCTTCAGGCAATGGGACAGACGAGATGAGGCTCCCTCCAGCCCAAGTTTCATGATTCTTACACAACTTTCCAGAAACAGATGGGGACCTGTCCTCCATTCACCTGCAGAGCTGGGAGGTCCTCTGTTAGCAGCAAACATGATGATCTAGAGGGCTGCCACATAAAAAGAGGGTAAAGTCGTGACTGCCACTGCTTTGATTGCATCCTATGCTACTGGAAAGCATATATATATACATATATGTATATACATACATGCAGAAAGGTGTGTGGAAGGACAAGGAATGGAAGAGAGAAGATGGAGATGTCCAGCATGAACTTTGCAATATATTGGGCAGGCGTTTCTTAACTATTAGAGGAAGGAAATCAGGGCTTAGAAAACATTTCTACAGGAAGGTGGAAAAGTTATTTCATATACCATATACCACATCCTTAACTTTTGAACAATCCTAGTAATTTTTCAGTTTCCTTTCAGAGCATGGAAAGTACTTGTCTCCGAAGCTACCACACAGGTAGAAGAAGGGTCCATCCTCAGAAGACCCATCTTCTATACTCTGCATGATGAGCAAACCATGCCTGAGCACGCTAAGAGACAAAACGACACCCTTGTGACTCGAGCTACACTTCCATGAGACAAAGTTCTTGTAGGTAAAGCCAGGAAGAGCTTCCAAAGATCAGAACAAATCCCAAATTCCTCTGCAGTCAGTAAAAAGGGCACTTAAAACCATCACTCCTCTCCCGCTCCTTTCTTCTACCATTAGCTAGAAAACTTTCAGAGAGCAAGAGACATGTCCCAAATCCCAGCTCCGCTGAGCTCTTTGCAGCCTTCCTTCCTGACCCCATGATCTTGAGGCTGTTTGGGAGAGTTTCTCACCGGTGCTGGTACCACCTGCTGCTAAAGGGGAAGTTCTTGTTGAGCAAAAGTATGCCAAGAAGGCCAAAAAACCCATTTGTGGAAAAGAAAAGAAACCAATGCTGAAGAAGTGACACTGCAAGCTGGAGCTCAAGCACTGGAGGAGAGAGATGGAAGAGGCTTTTTCTAATTTGGTAGTGAACTACTGGTGGCCTCAGCTGAAAATGAGTTATCATCTTAGCTGATCCTTGCTCAGCCATAGGACCAAACAAAGCAGGACCAAACGACCTTGAACAGTGACTTCTAACTGTCTTAATATTTTAATGTAAGCTCCAAAGAAATGGGGTTTACTGAAACGCAGGTTGCTTCGTGATGAAAGGGCTCCCTATTCCGTCAACGTGCTGGGCCGCAGTGTTTGGTTTTGCTAGTGTTGCTAGTCAGGAAGGTCCTTCAGATACCTGCAGGGGACTGGGACACGGATCTGAGCACGAGCACATTCCTTTAAGAAAACTGGAAAGCTCCAGGTTAAGCCTGGAAGTGATAAACGTCAGATTAACCATCTCGCTGGCTCCCGAATCTGGGATAAGCAGGTGCTTTGTGCCCAGGTGGTCCAGCGGTTGGATGATTTATCCCTCTCTGAAATAAATAAATGAAGATATCCTCATCCACCACTAAGCGGAGCTGTTACTCTTGGAAAAGATTCCCTCGGCGCTCCCAAGCCGCGTGTGCAGGGCAGGGTTGGCTTCCTTAGGGGCCCAAAAGCCAAAGCCTCTTCCCAACCCCGAAGCATCCGAGCAGCTCGGAGAGGGCTGGAGCACAAAGCGAGCGCAGGTGGGTCCTGCCAGCCCCACATCCCACAGCAGCATCCCAGGAAGACGGGCATGGAGCACGTCACCGTTCCCTTGTTCTTGGGAAGCGACCGCGGCGGGTCCCTCCTCTCCACCCAGCCTCGGTTTTCTCCTTTCTAAAGGAAAACAGGGAACCTGCTTTTCCCTGAAAAGCAATATTCCAAGCTGAGAAGGGTGTGCACGGCGGCTCAGGATGGGCAGATGTCATAATCCAGCTCTAACTTGTTCACTCCTCTGCTCATAGAAAAATAATGTGTCATAACCCATAAAACATGAGTCATAGTCCAGCTATAACTTGTTTACTCCACAGCTCCCAGAAAAATAAAGCAATATATAACTTACAGGACAGGGAAAGCATTTAAGCCATGCAGTGTAGCACTACCCCTCCTGTATTTTAATCAGGATGTAACTATTTTAACAAGCCTTTATTTTTATTACTACAGAACGACGTTTTAGTGTGGTTCAGCTGCTCAAACCTTTTCAGCAATCAGGCACCCTTTAATCTTTTAAAACATTAAGGCCTACATGTGTAAGAAGAAAAACATAACATTCCAGCTTACATTCTCAATGACGAATGTCCATTCCTTGTCTTCAAACTCTTCAGCGTGCGGATCCTAGAAAAACAGAACAGAGAACTTGAGTCTAAAAATAATGCAGTGGGTAAGGAAAGTGTAATTCGGCGAGTAAGAAAAGTGTAATTCAGCCAACATTTTGAGAAGGAAATTCACACACATGTCTTTATCCACTAAAGATGTTACAAGAGAATACTCCAGCTGGGGTGCAGGCTTCGATGGCTGCCAACAGGACCAGGAGCAAGTGGGCAAACTTGGAGCAATGCTAAAATAGGGATTCCCGGCCCTCCTCCGGAGCAGCCAGGGCTGCAAACCCGAGGAGGGGGCTGCTGTTTCGCCAGGCCCTGGGAAACGCCGGCAGCGCGCGGGGAAGCCGAGGCGCTTCCATGGGGATGTTGTAGGATCTGCGAATGGAACCGCCACGACCACGGGGACACCTGAAACACAGGCTAAACATGCAGCACCCCGAAAATGGGAATCGATGTGAAAAGCTGCTACTGGAAATCTTAAAACATGACTTTTGGTAAGCTCTTAAAAGCAACCAAGTGTTTTACATACTGCAAATGAGTGTAAAAATACCCGCTGCACTGCTGGCCATAATGATATATGGGCAACACGCACAAATTATGTCTGGATATGCTCATATCCCCATTGATGTACTTGCAAATATCAGATTAAGTAATTATATACTCCCTGCATTAATCAGCTTTGTAGAATGATGCATTGTGTAAATAATGTGCAGGATGCCTAGCTGGGTTGCTGTAGACCAGTTCTACACAGATTATCCATATTCCACCTATTAAATACTAATCACTTTTCATGAGTTAACCTGGGGCAATTACCTCTTTAATTTAATATTGCTTCCTCTGATACAGCATAAAATGATATAATGAGATTTAATGAGATCATTAATCATTTTATGTTTTAATAAGCTAGTCTTTAGTAAGTGACTGAACTCTTTAATATTTCATCCAGCTCTATTTTTTGCACAGCTCTCCCAAAAGCCAGTAAATGAGCTTGTAAAATTACCTAAAACCACTTGCAAAGTCAGGGCATGGTCGCATGGTATTTCAGCCCAGGTAACAAATGAAACAACTTTGTTTTGGCCATGCAAGGCAATAATCCAGAAAGAAAATAAAAACTCTCCTATTTACAGCAATAACGCTGACTCACACCTCCGAAGGCTGCAGGATCAGGGGCTTTGCTGTGTGTTTCTGATAACCTGTGTAACAAAAACGCTTCCTACTGTTCAAGCGCGCGCTAACGAGTTGTTGAAGTGAGCTGGGAACGTTTCTGGAAAAAAGGAATTCTGCTATATTAACCACAAACTCCCTACCAATCACCTAGAGAAAAACAGAAATGCGAAGCTTCAGGCGCTTGTCCGCGTGACGCTCTAACGAACACCCGAAAATTCAAAGAGTGTGAAAAATAAGTGCCCATTTTGCATACAGGGAGCATATTTCATAGTCCAAGACAAGCAAATGCAAACAAGTAAGAACTGGGATGTCAGAAGCCCGAGGGGCAGCAGGCACAGCCCTGTTTGCAGCTGCAACCTCAGGAGGTGTCAGAGCCACCAGACTCTTCTGTGCCAGCCCTGGGAACATCCTCTCTGCTGCCACCTCCACGGCACCCCTTGGGCTAACACTTCCATGGTGGTCTCTTCCAAAAAGCAGTATTCCCTTCGTGCTGGTGAATCCTGCCGTTTCTCTTGGAGGGGATTTACAGAGGGTAGACACCAACACAACCTTCCTCCCTGTTTAATGGCTATCCCCTGCTCTCCCACACAAGACAGCAAGACCCTCCCTCAGAATATCATCTCTCCAGCTCTCTCCCCAAGGTCAGGAGATACTTTGCTCCTCACCAGCTTAAACCCGGCCTATCTAAAGCTCTCCCAGCAACTCGCAGCCACCTCCTTGAGAGCTCCTGGTGCTCAGTGAGCTCGGTCCTGCCACCCCGACCCCAGCACTGGGGCTGCTGCACGTCCTCAGCGGTTCTGCTCAGCTCTTTGAAACTGCAGAACACTCAGAACTTGACCCAACTCTTGCCGATGCTCCTTGCAGAGGTCCGATTAGTCTGGAAAAATCACCTACCTCTGGTCAGTTCTTATTTCCGCGGATTTTCATAAAGCAGGGAGCTCCAGGCAAGCTGTCAGACTTGGCCCTCTCCATCCCTGCTCCACAGCTCACACTTTCCTCACCAGCGTCTGGGCTACAGAGGCTAAAAGGCTTCATTTCTTCTCAATAATTTCTATTACATGGTTTCTAGAACTAGCCCCACACGAAGCCTGGGAATTCTATTTGGTGTGAAAGGATTTCTGTGCTTCTCACATCCCAGAGCTCATGATTTGTGTGTGGGACACACAGCGTCTGCTCCAGCCATTTTCCCCATTACAGACTATCGCCCATAGGGTCACTCCTAAAACTAAAAAAATAATAATAATAAAAAAAAGTGTATTCTGAACCAGAATTTGGCCTTTGCAACTAGGAAATGGCTTGATCTTGGAGCAGGGAAGGATATGCATATCCCTTTTGATATAAAATATATATATATATATTTTAATCTCCCTTTTGGTATTAAAAAAAAAACTATTTTAATCTCCCCCCCTTTTTTTTTCTTTCTCTTTTCCTTCAGATTTTGCAATGTGGAGCTGGTAACCTTTGCCTTTTGTTGCAACTGCCAACCAGCTTGGCCATAGGACACGGGGTTTATTACGCGCGTGTTTTCTGCCAAAGTCCAGGCCTCTGCCAGAGCAAACGCCCCTGCTCCAGGAGGGCACTTCAGGCTGAACGATGGTGACGCTGCAATTTAAATCCCCCAGCACAAGTCACACACTCACGTGGCTTTCATAGAATCATAGGGCTTCCTTGACACTGAGAATTCCTCCCTTAAAATCTCTCCCCATTGGTGTATGTCTGTGTTTGCACAGAATGACCATGCAGACGTAAATACAGAGGCTCTCATACATGACAGCTAAACCCAGCTTAAGTACGGGCTCTAAAAATGAACTTTTGGAGTGCAGCCATGGAAACAGGGAAAAATGTGAACTCCGCTAGCTTTTCCGGCATTTGTGGGTCTTTCTATGGAAGCACTACAAACGCTGGGCTTAAAAAGCACAATGGGGTTATTGTTTCCCAGTCCTTCTTTCTTCCCATTTTGGTCAAGAATGCGAGGACATGACACACAAATGCAGAACAGCGCAAAGAAAGAAGTGAAACTTCCAGATCAGCTGGAACTTTCTATGTCATTAGCACTGCAACTAGCTAGATGGACAGGAGCTAGCCCCAGATAGGGGAGGATGAATCAGTCCATGCTCCCACTTGATGCTTTTCCTTAAATGACCCCAGGGCAACCGGCAGCTTTAACCCGCAGCCCTGAATGAAGTAAAAAAGATTTTTTTATTTGAACAGAAAATTTCCCCGTGAAGGCTCAGGACCTCCTCAACGCTTCGTTCTGCTTGATCCAAGGTGACAGAGACGCTGTTGGGAACAGGCTGGCTCCCGAAACGGGCACGTACGGATAAGGCCCCTTGTCCGAGCACACGCGCTTTCCTGGCAGCTCCCGAGTGTCGCTGGAGAGGACACTCTTCCTGCTCTCATGGGCACTCGAAACGGCAGCTTCTCCCCTAACGCCACCGGTGACACCTTTCAACAGCCACTTGGGAACGCGGAGCTGCTGCCGTGCGGATCGCTTCCCGAAACACGGAGCTGCCCGTGCCACTTGTGCTGCGGGAAGCGCTACAAGCGGCGCCGACCTCGCGCTCCACGCGCCGCAACGCGGCACCCACGGCCGATTCGTGCCCGCAGATGCTCCTCTCGCGCCCATGCAGGACACGACGTTGGGCTCTCAGCCCTGTCCCTGCTGTGAGGGGCTGTGCAAAGACGCAGACGCATTTCTAGGGAGAGGGGAAGTAGGGAGAGGCCCCAGGAACCCGTCCGTCTGCAGAGCCAGGCGCTCTGCAGAGCATCGGAATACCCGGCAGCGGCTCCCATCCCGATCTTGTGGCCCTCACACCAACAAGCTCCCAAGGCTATGCTATGAAACACGTCCTCAAAGCGGTGCAGCTGAAAATAAGAGTGGGGCAGCAGGAGACCTCCAAAGTCACCACATCGCAGAACTGCAGCAAAAAGAAATCTCATTTTACAGCTCTTCCTGCAACATAGTATAGTATCCACAGGCAAGAATTATGTACATTGCTGCCTCATTTTAAATGTTAAAAATAATAACTAACAGCTCACATAGCCACATCGAGTCTCTATAGATAAGCAATGTAGTCACATAATGGTGTTGAACTTCCTAATCCAAGCAGCGGCCCTTGAAGCACGTAAAGGCAAACACTTTTTGCCAGTGAACTCTTGAACCTCGACTGAAGGAAACAGGCTTGCTGAGAGGCAAATTTATGACAGTTCATGTCCCCAGCAACCCGGGATGCTTCACCCCATTGGCCATCCCAAGAACAGCAACAAGAAAAACCACACGAGAGGAACCCCCTTTTTATGCTTAATGAACCAAGAAAGAAATCCTCATTCTAAGGCTAACGAGGAGCCACTTTAAGCAGTTACCCGGAGGAGCCACAAAATATAAAATATCACTATTTTACATTATTAGAATGCCACTAAAATATAAAAATCACTGATTAGAAAAAAATATATGTTGCTGTTGTCCTAAGCTGTAAAAGGTGCAGTTTATAAATGAGAGCAGCTAGAATGCAGCTGGAGACAGCAGAGAAAAGAACCAGCAGGGACTAAGGAATGAAAGTCCAAGTCCCCGGAGCCCTCAACCCACGGGGCAGCCTCCCACGCTGTCCTATCTGCAGAGCTGCACTGTTTATCTTCATGCAGAAGGGACTTTGCCCAGTGCTAACGGGGAAGGAAGCCCTAGCACAACCACTGTCTTCTCTCCCTGCTTCGTGGGAAGGGAGATGAGCACTTAAAAAAGCAGAAAAGCAGGAAGCAAAATGACTCTTTTTTTAAAATGCATCACCTAAAACTCCCACACGATATATTACAATTGTCTGCCCTCCTCAGTTGTTCCACAGCAGCTCCCAAGGCTGGGATGTTTGCGTGATGCTGTGAATACTATAAAATTCAGAGCTGGAATCTGGTCTATAGGCAGCAGCACAACCACTGCACTGCAGCCCAATAAACCAGCCCAGGAAGGGCTGCTCTGAGGTCTCCTGGCTTACAGGATTTAAGGCAAACAGACCAGGCTAAAACCTTTGCCAGGTGAGACCCCTGTGCAGCAAACACCCTGCACTGAACACTGTGTGAATGATGAGCCATGAGCCAATTCAGTGAGATATAGCAGGGTTTCCTAAGCTACAGGCACCAGCTCTGGCATGGCACCCACCACAGTTCTCTGTGGAATTCAAGCTCTGGACCTAAGGTTGTGAAGCTAATGAGACTTAATAAAATCAACAAGATTACACCTTTTGGAATGTAATTTGGAGTTCCCAGGCAGCGTTAACTCGTATGGTGCATGTGAACCTGGGGAAGATCACGCTTTATGTGCATACCTTGAAAAGGGTCACGGTGATTTCCACGTTCTCAGGCACAGGCCACACCACCACGCCGCGGTACGGGTTTTTGATGCCAGGCTGCCAGCTATGAGCCTAAAAGAAGGAAAGAAACAGTTGTTTTAACATAAAAGCACCAAGTGGACTCCCATGAGAGCGGTGTTGGCAGACACAAGAGTTTCTGACACCAACAGGACTGCTGTCTGCCATCCAGGACGCTACTGACCCCTCTAACAGACATCCTTAGGAATGTGATTAAGGAAACTCGGATCGTTAGCAGGAGGCTCCGTGCTCAACTGAAACGGTCCCTTGCAAGGTGCTGGGCACAGATCAGGACACGCAGAACGGTGCAGAAACGAAACCATGAGCAGACAGGGCTTCCCTAAGCAGTCAGACTGTGTTTTGTCCTTATCCAGATGAGGGGATGCTTTCCTTTAAAGAAAATGTGAGGAGCACAAGTACATTGTGCAGGCATAGCCCTCCTCAGGCTTAAATAAAAACATCTTTTTGCCCTAGAACAGAAAGAACGAAGCAACAGCTTATGAGTGCAGGTTAAATGTGACTAAAACATTGAACTCTTAAGAATGGACGTGCTGGGGTGTCCGCAACTAGAAAAATCACGACAGAACACAGGAAAAGTCCCCAGGAACTCACCTGTCTTTGATGAATGGCCTGTATTTAAATTGTAACAGCTGGTCTTGAAGAACCATGTGTGAACATTTCTAGCTTGGGACAAACAAGCCTTTTTGTTTTTTATTTTTCCCCAAGCTTACCTTAAGGCATTTTGTGATGTAAGACACCACGGAGGGAGGGAAACTGATACACAGTTAACTGCTGAGCAGAATGGGTGTTATTGAAATTTGTTGTAGTTTTCATTAGGGAAAACAAATTTAGAGTGTAGATGCTGCTATCTGAAGCCAAGTAGGCAGGCTTTTTCCCCTCCAATTTCTGCAGCATCACTTTGTTCCTTAAGTCCTGTTCAACACTCGGAACTCCACATTAAAATTCCCTATTAGAGCAAATTATTGCTAATAACAAAGCCAGCAGAATTTGCATCTCCTCACTCACAGGAGGGTAATAATTCTCAATGGCTCTGGGTGTCGTAAGCAGAGCATATTCTAGATGCCAGGATCGTATGTGACAGCCCCAGAAATACACACTGGTGTGGACACACATATACATACACACACGTACATATATATATATTTATATATATGAACAATTTTCTGTTACAGTAATTCTTCGGGCACGTCACTGAAAGCAACAACCAGGAGATGGCGAGTCCCAGCTAAGGGGCTCTCGGAAGCAGCTGCGTGTTGTTAGAGCCTCCTCTGGCTTTGCAAAATACACCCTGCACCACCCGAACAGCCGCACAGATGAAGACAACAGCCGGACCGAGCGCCTGGAGGAAGGCAAAGCTGGGAAGAGGGGAGGGAGCAGAGGAAGGAGCGTGATGATAATTAATACACTAGCTCTCATGCCAGGCTGTGCTGCAGGCAAACCCGGCCTGTACTAAATACCCCGGGAACATAAACCTTCGCTTTGGTACCGAAACCTTTGGGCCCCGGGTTCCTGGCGCCCCTGTGTACCTCAGAAAGGCCGGTTCCTGGGCAGTCCTGAGCAGCGTGTCCAAGGCTGCTCCTCACCTCGATGCCCCGCTCCGGTGGACCTCCCAGACCCGCCGATCCTCATCCCCAACTATTCACCTGCCATCTCCAAGTATGGAAAGGGGAGCTACAGAAGGGGCCATCGAAACACCCCATGAACAGAGCAGAACTGGGAACACGAATGACACTGTCCGACCTGCTAGATACCTGTGCCCCAAAACACAGGTATTCCCTTTGCCTATGTGAGGCTCTTTCCTAACCAATTAAGGGCCAAAATACTAAGTTACTCCAAGGGCCTACGCCTCCAGAAAGGCTTTATGTTACTCACCCACCTGCTTCATCTCCCCTTCGTTACTGCCCACATCATAGAATCACAGAATGCTGAAGGTTGGAAGGGACCTCTTGAGGTCACCTAGTCCAACCCCTGCACACGCAGGGTCACCCAGAGCACGTGGCACAGGACTGCGTCCAAGCGGGTTTTGACCCACTTGATTCTTTCTCCGGAATCCAGTGTAATTGCAAGTTAGGCTCCTGCAAAGTCCTAGGGTCGACAATCTTTCAGCCTGCTGAAAGTAATGCAACAGTTTGTGCCTAGGAACCAAAAAATGTGCTCCCCTACAGCCAAGTCCTCAATATTGCTAAAAATCCAGGAGTCAGACCCAGGGCTGCCATTGCTCCTCACCTGCAGCTCCAGGAGCAGATTAGGCCGCCGCTTATTTTTCCCCGATAACAGTTTTGCCACGGGCCGAAGGACGGGCCCGGCAGGACACAGCGGAGGGCATCGCCATTCCCGTGGAGCGTCCCGCCGGCCGCGTCCCGAGGCGCGCGAGCCCAGGGCGGCGCGGAGCAGGAATCGTGTCCCGCGGACGCTGCTCGCGGCGCTCCTGAAATTCCTGATTCACGCTCCTCTTCCCTCTGGACCCGGCCTTACTGCCCGGAGAGATGACGCTCAAACAAGCAGCAGTGATTCAATTTCCCTTTCTCATCAGTCATTTTCTGTTCTCGTTTAGGGGGCTTCTTAAAAAAAAACAAGAAAGCAACTGAAAGCCTGATTATTTTCCTCACAGTTTTCCAGCTCTTTTAGTCACTGCACTTCAGAATGCCATCAAAATTTAAGTGTTGGCATCCCTGGGGAGCAGGGGGGCATTACGGTCCCCAATTCACAAGCAGAGGAAGAATACCCGGCCTCTGCTCCCCTGATTTTGGATGGTCACTTTGAGGTTGTGACTTTTAGGGTATTGAACGTGAACCACACATTTTTGTGGTGCTTCCCAAAGCACAGATTTCCCTGCCTATGAGCACCATGCTGCAGTGGGTCAGTGACCCTGTGCTAGGCAGCCGCTGATGGAAAAATACATCAAATCAATCGTTAATATTCCATATAGCCCCAGTGCGGAGCTTTGTGGATAAAGATGGCACAAAACACAACTCCACGGCACAGCGAAGCTGCTTTTCCTTCGTGCCCTGGCCCTCGTTTAACACTCACCCTCCACCTTCCTCGTCACAGGAGCCGCTTTGCTCACTGCTTGGCCCTCCTCCTCTTCCTCTCCGTGTCCACTTAGCCAGCTGGGAAGGCCACATAAAACCAGCCTGCAGTCGCCTTCCTGCAGGCCTAAAAGGGCATTCACCGACCATTAAAATGACTCAGCTGATTCTGAGAGCTTGTCTTTGCAACATTAAGATCTTTCGCCAGCCTTTCCTTGCTTTAATAACATGCAGAGCAGCCCCAGAAGTGCTCCCCGTCCCCAGCTCACCTGTTCCTGCTCCCCTGCACTGAAAAAACCCTACAGCTTCAGCAAGGGGATGGAAATCGCAGGGAAGGCGCCTGCTTTTCAGCTTTGATACCAAAGGGTTCTTTGAAGAATAGTTGTCAGCCTCCTACCGAAAAGTGCAAATTTGATCCTTCAGAGCTGCATAATCTGACCAGAAGCCTGCATGAGTTCACAGGAACAGCAGAACGCACCTCCTTGACATCATGGCAACATCTCTTTCCAAACTAAAAATTCTAGTTCAAAGCCTGGAAACGCTACCGCATCCCAGGCAAACACTTCACAACACATTTTTCCCCTTGTTCTACATGAAAATAAAGTCATTTGTTCTCTCCTCAAAAAAACAAAAGGCAAGTTCATAGTCTCAGGGCCTGAAAACGTGGGGGTAAACTATCACCTACCAGGATGACTGAGGAGGGAGAGTGAAGCCCTTTTGTGAGCTGTGAAGGTTGGTAACTGTGTAAATGGGTTTGAAAAGCTGTGGCCAGACCTACCTCTAGCTTCTGATTTAAGACCATTTACACCTACAGAACCAGTTTGCCTTCACACACCTCTTCAGAAGCATCCAGACTCACTCAGACAGAGGGGATCCCAGAACAGTGTCCTAAGTCACTTAAATGCGGGTCAAAGTCAGTAGCTGCTAGATGGCTTTAAGATTCCCATCTGACTACCACTTAAATGCTCTTTCCAAAGGGCTATTGCTGTTTGGTTGCAACATTCTTAAAACTTATTATAGTCTGTTTACAGCTCTCTAGCCCACATTTCTGAGAGCAACAACTAAAATATTCATCAGACTCCTGCACATGATGCTTCCCACGATTTCTTCTAATCTGGGGACCATTTGCATCAGAAATAAAGTATGGGCCAAAGGCATCAACATCAAAACCAGAAAAAAACAAAGGAAACAAAAAAGAAAAAAAAAAAGCCTTAAAAGGATATCAAGAACTCGTCCTTCAACTCAAACATTACTTTTGTTAAGCAGACTAGTCACATATCTATATATATATAGCATTATTATATCATTTTTAAAGTTAGACTACATTTTTGAATATCATAACTATCTGTTAGGATATCTCTAGTTATCCCTAACTAACTAAAGTTCAGGAATGAATCGTCATCTCTGAAGAATTCCCTACATCATCATCACAGCACGACCTTACCCCTCTGCCTTCTAAAAGGCTGGAAAACATTGGGAAGTCTCAACACTTGGTACTCTGAGCTCAGTGTCTGTCAACAGCAAAATAAGAAGAAATATTCATTTGACCAGCTTCCAAGAAAGCAATTAGATGAAAGAAATAATGGATTGAATAAAGAAATTTACTGGCAGGATGACTAAGACAGTGAGAGCATTTATTGATCTACAGTCCTGGACCCAAACAGCTCAAATCATATCAGCTACCTTAGCTTTAAAATAGACCTTGTCCAAAGTGCAGGCCTTAGGGCCCTCAGCACCCTTTAAGGTACCTTTGTAAGATACTACTAGGCAATAATTAATCAACTAATGACTCTTTGAGTCCCAACAAACCTGGGAGTTTATCCGAGGGTTGTGCCTGAGGGCCTGGAGAAGGGGGACCTTATGTCTGTGTTGTGCAGACAGTAAAGGAAGCTAGAAAAGTTATTATGGGGGAAGCCACAACAGCCACTTACATCACTGAGCTCAGCAGATCCTGCCTAGACACACGCTTATTTTGTGCCATAACTTTGGGGGAATTTGAGGCAGTTTACCTTTCAACAAGGGCAATAATCTGCCTATCTTTGCTGAATAGGAGCACGCACCGCAGCAGCTATCTTGGAAAACACGTTAGAATAAAGTGACCCCCCTGTTTACTCCCCAGGTAGTATCTTTGGCTATTCATCCCCTGAAGCAGAAGTCAGGGCACGTGCTGACACTGGAGCATGTGTTCGGTTCTGCAGTCCGTGCAAACCAACATCCAGGCTTTAGATAAAACAGCCTGGACCAGGCTCGACCCCATGTTGGGACAAAATGCAGCAGGTTCGGACTGGGGAAAAAAGGGTTAGACTTAGATCTTAGCTTAGATCTTTATAGATCTTATAGTTCTTCAATGTTTCGGACACGGCGCTCCGAGCTTGCCTCCTCTGGACAAAGTGACGCGCGGCCAGCGCTGCGGCATGTCCCTCCCGCTCATTCGTGTCCCCTCACCTCTACGTGGGTGTAAGTGACAGCCTGTGGGCAGCCTGGGGACAGCTCTGCACCGCAGGACACAGGGCCACGGGGGAATCCCTCAACACGACCGCGCGGAAAGGGCTTGGACACGAGGAATCTGCTCGCCCGGCTGCCCGGGGACTGCTGGCACTGACGGAAGGTTTTTCCCTCTTGGTAGTCAACGTGATTCTTGGGCAGGAGACATTTGGGAGGCTTTTGGAAGTGCCTTCTCCTCAGAGAGAAGGGGGACATCACACTGGATGTCATCTTAAAACCAGAGCAGCAGGATTGGGCAAAAGGAGCAACATGCAGCTAGGGGACAGGAACCCCGCTGGAATTTCAGATTTGGGGAAAAGAGCAAGGCAAAGCTCAAAGGAGAGGGGGTTACTCCGTTTGCTGGCTTATTTCTACACACCAAAACACACATGCAAGACACTGACGTGAGGAATGCCCAAATATTGGACCGACTTCCCTTGGAGTTTCCCTCTCCTCAAGCTGCCAAGTCATTAGCCATAAAACACAAATTCATCAGCTTCCTCGCAGCGTTTGTGGGAGTAAAATGTTCAAATTTAATTCAGAGGTACACCACGGGCCTACAGGAGCTGCTTTTATTCTTCTGGATTTCCAGTATTTTCTAGCGGTGAAACAGTCTCTTTTTCAGGCTTCACATTCCTATTCCAGGGGTGTCAGAACCTTTCGTGTCTTTATGCTTTTTGAACTATATTTAAGACACTTCTAGAAGTGAAATAGATTCTAGTTTTTTTCTAAGTAGGCCTAGCAATAACTAAAATTGAACTGATTATGGTACACTTGCACTAAGCAAATATCTGTGCTGAAATTAGAGCTCTTATTTAAGCGTCTCCACCGACATTAAGAGCAGCTCATTCCCAACTCCATGGCTAAAGGGAAGTAAGAAAAACAATTAACACTTCCTATTTATTCTGCGGCTCCCCACAGTCAAGAAAGCAACCCTCAAACAGCTGCCTGGTTCTCAGCAAAACCAGGACTTCTTAAGCAATCAACTAACCTTGGAGGATTTTCTTCGACTTCTTCTCGTCCAAACCACCACTAGTTTGTCTGGCTGCCTGTTGAAGAAAAGGGAAAAAGAGCTTAATTTGCAACAGGATCAGTAATATGAGAACTCTTGCAATACCTAATGATGTCCTTAGTGGACAGACCGTCTTTAAAAATAGCTGATGTAAACAGCACTCTCAGGATCAGTAATTGAACAGGAAAAACGCTGGAGCCGAGCGCAGTCCTTCGGGCATCGCGCTCCTGCCGCCCTCCTCGCTCTGCTCTCCGGAGCCCAGGACGGGACGCAGCCCCCAGGGCACCTCTGCACATCCCCGAAGATGCCTCGGAGCCAAAAGAAACACCTGGATAAACGCCAGCAGGAAGCAGCCACATGGAAAAGGGATTGCTAAAGGGTTTGGAAAATAGGTGATTGCACCTACCTTCTGATAACGAGTGTGTCCAGGACAACTTTGCATCCCCCGAGGGGTCTTTGCACTCCATCACCTCAGACCCCGGGGATGCGAGCGCTGCCTCCCTTCTCCAGCACCCTCCAAACCACCAGCTGTAGCTACGTTTGCAATTAATAGAGACGCAAGCCCAAAAAGGGACATTTCCCATACAAATCATTCTCTCAAATTCCTTAAGTTTTAATTCTTTGCTAATAGTCACAGCGCTACTAATTCTACAGCTGTCCCCAAGTGATTTTTGATGTCATTTCTGGGGTGTTTTTTTCTCCTTGACCCATGATATCATTTCCCATGGTGGGACCACCCTCCTGGTCTCACTGCCAGGGCCCAACACGCTGCAATTTGCTCCTCGCTCGTTTTTGGACGGCTCCCCGCAAGAAACCCTCCCCGGAGAAGGTTAGGGCTGCAAATCTGTTTCCACGCGAGAAGTTGCGGCTACTCAGCTAAGAAAAAGGGGGAGGATTTTCTGATTACAAAACTTGCGGCTCAGGGAAAAAGCTTCGGCTGTGCCTGCGCAGTGTGAGCTGAAGCAGTCCCCAAACAGCCAGAAAACAAACAAACTGCAGCAAAAAAAAACACAAAAAACCCTCACTCCCCCCAGGAACCAGCCTCTCCCTGTGGATTCAAGCCCTAAAAACGCTCTCCAGACTGGAAACAACCTGGATCGGCACCTCCTATGCAGCAAGGATCACTGATGCAACGGAGGTTGTGCAAGATGCAAGGTCTTCTGGGGTTTGGCGTGCATCATTCCAGGAAATATTTGGCATATTTTGAGTACACAACTGTCCAAATATAATTCAGGAACAAAGTACATAAAAGGTATTATTCTGCTGTTGGCTCTTGTTTTGTACATCTTTTAGCAGAAGCAGATAACATTAGCTGCGAGAGAGAGGCATTTCTTTACCAAATAGTGTTTGATAACTGAAAACTCTAAGAGTCTTATATTTAGAATCTGTTGGTGGAAAGAATTACTAATGCAAATCCCCAACCATCTCTTGGTTAATGATACAAATATAACAGTATTTGTTCCTAACAAGACACCACTGCCTGTAATCACCCCCAATAATCTTTCAGCACGATGCAAAGCCCAAGGTACCTTTTACATACATAGACACACACAGCTGCATATTTGTTTTGGCATCTAATTGCCTAAGTGTTGGAAGGATTTTTGTTGTTCCGTTTGTTTTTTTCTCGCTGTGTTTGATTGGAATTACATTAATTACACTCTTTTCCGCCTGCTTCATGAGTAACCCAGCAGCCTGTAATAAGGAGCAAGAGGAGCAGCAGGGCTGGTAGCGCGATAGGTGCAGATGCACCTACTGGAGGATAAATATAATAATTACTCGAGGGGTAAAAGCAAACTGACCACCCAAGGGCCTTCTCCAGGCCTCGTGCCAAGCTTTTTCCTTCGGAATTCCCTGTTGGTGACTAGCCCTGGAATTCCACAGCTGCATTGCAAGACGAAACACTGTTTTGGGAAAGGTTTCTGCTTTCTCCTCCACGCGTCCCTTAGTTTCCAGCAGGGAAGTAGCACTGCCATTTGTCACTGTTGAAAATAATTCGTTATCCAGACATTATTGCTTTTCTTTTTCCCTGCAACAGGTCTTTACGTATTCCTTCAAGAAAACACAGGGCACTGAAAAAACTAGGATTTTTGCACATAAGTGAATTTTAAAGCATTTTTTTTAAATCTTTGGGCATCTGAACAGCCTGAGACTTGCATCTCTGATCTCTTCATGTCTGATGATGATGCTCTGCTTCCCCTAAGAAGCTCTATTCTGGCTTTGCCTGGTTTAAAGATAAATAAATAAATAAATAAAGGGAACAAAGTGAGACACTAATGATTATTTTATAAGTGCAGTCAGACCTACGGAATCTGCACCGTGTCTGCAGGAGGGGAATGCGCAGCGTGCGCTGCTGATGGCTTGGTTTTCTTAAATCAAATAGAAATGAAGTTTGCAGGAGGAGCTGGATTAAACAAAGCCTAAATTCATCCATTATTCAGAATGGGCCACAAGAACAGATTTCAGAGTTATTGCAGCAAAGAATCTGGAATAAAAACTTGCCAGGAGGACTACCTAGCAAAAATTGCTCTTAAAGCGTTTTGCAACAGGACTTCACACTGCAGGCTGCAGAAACTGGGCTTCAGAAATGACTTAATTTTCTCACTGGCAACAGGAGCTTTTGGGAGACAGATTAGCAAACACATTTGAAGATGAGGACGACCCGAGTAGCCCCTGATGTTTCTACATGTCAGCGGGCTCCCCTCGCGCAGCACGAGCCGGCTTCGCCTAAAAGTTGATCTACAAAGGCAAAAGGGAGTTCAGCGAGCTTTAAAGCAGCCCTGAACAGGGGTCAGTGCTGCGGCGTTGGCTGCTCGGGCTGCCTGGCAGCAGGGAGCACGCGGAGCCCGAGCCATCCAGACATACCTTAAATGGGAAAACCGAGCACGTTGCTCTGCGTGCAGAGTTCAGCGCGGGCTGCAGTGAGTCAGGCCCCGCTCGGGCGCCGTGTTTGCTGTTTGAGGCCGGTTCTCAGCGCGGTGCAGCTGGGAAGCCGGGTGGCAGGGCCGAGGGCTGCTCTGAAACGCGAGTCCTGAGCGCGACGGTCAGTGCAAACCACCCCGGTAATGAAGGCTTCGTTAGCCAGCGCTTCATTAGAAGGCACTTTGGCTTTTCCACCTCAAAGCAGCAGAAAACAAGACAAAGTTCTGTTCTATAGTGTTTATCGGGGCAAAGGAAAGCGGGAATGCTTCAGCGAAACTGCTTTACGGGAGTTGAAAGAGTCACAGGTGAATCTTCTTCCGATAATTTTCATAAAACAATTTTAAGAACCTTCCTGGGCTACTAAGGGCAGTAAAAGAAGAGCAGCTGGAGATCTTTGATGTTGCTGGTGCTGGGAATAGCGTCACGTTCACAACCTGCTACAAGAAACGGTGGTTTTGATTCACGGAGCAGAGCGCCGCGTGCCAGTGACAGCGCGACTTGGACACGCCACGGCTCGAGCACGACTACGATAATGTCTCCATCCTCCTGGCAATCGGGGGATTCGTCCTACAGAAAAATTAGCTTAGTGCATGCGAAGGAGCAATCAGACCTGGAGTTGCGTGTCTTCTGACGCACCCTGCCAAACCAATGGCACCGGGGCTTTCTTGCTTGTTTTATTTTTTTAAGGCTATAAGTGGATTAACACAAAACAAATCCTAGACTTTGAAGATGCCCCAAACTCGTCATTTATGAGCGGGCAGCAAGTGTGGAACGGCATCAGCCTGGGGGCTCTGCCCGTAGGAGGACGTGCACATCACCTCGTGCAGATGTCCCGGCCTGGGGAGCTAAACTGCTTTTTTGGGAGGGGACAATGTCACCAACCTACCGGCTTCTGGAGATCTCAGAATGAGTCACAGCTTCACAACAGCAAGCAGAAACACAGAAACCTTCACGTTTGTTCCTGGGTCCTGAGCAAACATCCGCACTAAACGCCCAGCTGGAACTTCATCCTCTCCAAGCTCAACAAGACATTTGAAATGCCAGATCATGGGAACACGGAGCGCTGGCAGGTCCTGTGGCAGTAAGATGTATGTGCATAGTTTGAAGAATTAACGCTGTCATTCCCTCGCGTGTTAAAAATAAGGAGACCTGCCAAAGCTGCAGGATTTGGGCGTGTGATGTCTCAGAAACTGGTGCTGCCCCTTGGGAGCTGCCACTACCTTTCCCAAACACCCAGTTTCACATCAACCTTTTACTTAATGCTGGAACATTTAATGCTCTCCAAGTCACACCCCTGCATCAGTCCCACAGCAAGCGCTGCCTAAGAAAAATTACATGTTAACTCCTGAGACCAAGAAAACCAGCAAAAGCTCCTGCCAGTACAAGGGCTGAATACAGTAAATAAAAAACAAACAGCCAAAAGCTTCTGGCACACTTCTATTGCTGTTCTGAAATTTAATGGGTATATTGTATGGCTTTTAAAAATTGAAGATTATTTGGAAAATGTCTAGTTACTTCATTCTCAGATACAACCGATGAAACTTTTGCTATTTCAAGGTCAAAGTAAATAAATAAACAAAAAGCACCAGCACGTAAGGACCTAAACAGAGCTTGCTAATAACTGCCATTTGTAAAACGCCCGACAGCAACCTGAGAAATATTGCAGTTAATTCTCTCGGGATCAGCTAAGCTGGAAACTCATTTCATATTTAGGACCGCTCTGTTTTAGAGCATGCATTCCAATTAAAAAAAAGGAAAATAAACAAAAATGCTTGTCACCCCTGAGGCACTGTCACCGCTGATGGCACCAGCAGGACGCGGCTCAGGCCACAAGGGTCCCTTCTGCCCCAGAAATCCTGCGCACACTTTGGCGAGGGGCACAGGGCTAGGAAGGCAAATGGCCATTTCCTTGCTCACGTCCCCAAGAAGGAGGCATCGGTGCTGGCAGCCCCCACGGTGGCACCGAGGCCTTTTGCCAGCAGCCGGGTACCAAATCTGCGCCCAGAACCTCGATGCCTCTCCCGTGCTGCAGCCTCCCGTGAACCAGGAACGCTGCGAGCGCCGGCACCTGCATCCTGCACCCAGGGCCTGGTTGTGTTTCGGCGCTGCTGGAGCCCT